GTCCTGGATTCTGCCGTTAGCCACCATCCATCTTCGCTTATAATTTAGAAAAGCCTCTGTTTCTAACCTCAAATTTTCTAAGTTTCATTAACATTATCATATTGTAAGTATTTTTGTAACGTGTTAATCTTCGGAAAATTTTATGAGGACAACTTTTTTCTGATATTATGTCTTTACACGAAAATGAACTATAAGATGTAGCAAAAACCACTAACTTCCTATTTTACATTTTTCCACTCACATTTATTAACGACTTCCTGCTCACACAAGACTGAGTGTTTAGAACAACAATAAGTTGACTTAAATTTATTTAGTAATTATAATAAACTTTAGTTTTCATGATTGTTTACTATTTTTTCTCATTCCAGTAACTAATCACAGTTCCCAAATAATATTGAACAGACATTATTTTTTGTGTTTATGACCGCAATCTGTCATTTTTTGTTTGGTTATCGCCTATCGGTTTGTACTTTTGTGGCACATCCCTATAATATACCATGTTGTTTCTTATTGGATAAGCTGTGTGAGATGAAAGTTTAGCACTGATTTTCACGTTTGACTAAATTTAATATGTCACAAGTCAAGATTTTGCCACAGAGGTATTAACAACTAGTCAGTTTATTTCCATAATTATCTTGTTTCACCTGATCATCATATATTTGAATTTATTTTTATTTTACATTTTTGTAGTAGGAGGATGAATATATTGATTTTTCCGATTTTTCATAAAATAATGCTTTTGAGAAGTGAGAACTCTTGAAAGATTTTTATTGATGAGAGAGTCCCTTCTCTGTAGAATTTTGAAACGCTCATAGCTCAATATTCATCACAATATTTGATAATGTGAATCGGTATCAATCAGTGTTTATCTCAAAATAACTTCTACAATATGTCACTTTTTTCATTTCAGATATATTGTTCTTTAGCATATAAATTGGCATTATGTTAACAAATATTTTGTTTGGCATAGTGAAACAATTTATTCAAAATATTTTTTAGTATATTGTATAACTATGGCAAGTTTTACTAATGTGTAATATCCAACAATCTTTAGAATAAATTTATCTGTATCGCGCCAACTTTAGTTCAGGGTAAATAGTAAACAGAGTTGAAACCTAATTTCTTTGTAATTAACACTTATCAACTTGATTTATTATTAGTTTAGTGTTTGAATATTCATTAGTACAGTGTAGTTAAACATATCGTCCTTCAGTCGACATGGCTATGTAGTTCTGATGGAGGATGTTATCTGAAGAGAAACCTTTGTAGGAAATTTAAAGTTGAGAGAAGAATACAAACCGAAATTAAGAGGTTAGAGATTCCACTTACTATTCAATAATTCAATGAGTTTGAAAAATATTAGTTTTCAAATGAGGATCGTATTTTATTAGCATAATCCATACAATCCATTTTGATATACAATTTTATCAAGTTATATTCTTGAAGGTAAAACTGAAATTAAAATTATGTCATATTAAACCAAAAAAGAATGAATAAACTCAGTGAACAACAACAATGAACCCGTAAATGTGAATTTTGCTCTTATAAAAATGTAGGAACAATATTATAATGGTTGGTAAAATGCTGATCACTACTTAATTTTATTTATAGCCTATAGATCATTAGGATAATAGGAAATGAGAAAGGATCAACATAAATCATAGAAATAGCATCTATTCAGAAATTTGATCAGGGGAGATTTTAAAACTGTTTTTTTGTAAAGCCATCTATAATAATTATTACTTGAAAATGTGTAAGTGTAATGCAGTGTAACGTAATTCCTAACTCAATATTCCTTTTACATAATAGCAAAATAATAAACGTTGCATTTCTAGGATACACGCTACTTGACATGGTTACTGTATATAATGCATTTTTCGAAGTTCAAAGTAAATGTAGTTCTTTAAGTAATTATCATCAATATCTCATTTGAATCTTATTCATTTTGAATCTCAACATAACTTTGAATCAATTTCGCGATTTTGCTGAGAACCATTTTTTCAGTGATATATAACCTCCATGAACTTATGATGTAACATAACATTGAACTTCATAGAAATTAGTAAAGTGAACAGGCAGTGATAACAGGACGTTTCTGCTGCAATTGAAGGTAGTAGTTCTGATTCGAGTGTCGAATTATTAACTCAAGATGATAAAGGACGCTCAATTCTTCTATCGAAATAGAATATTAATAAATTAGGCGGTAATTGAAAAAAAAAGACTGTAAAAAGTTATATCTTAGCTGTTTCTCTGATGTAACACATATTTGTTGTATGATTATTTTAATTACACCTTTTCCTTCTAGTAAACAAGTCATACTCAAATTCCTATATCGATAAACATTTGAGTTATCTTAGTACGTTACTGGAAAAAATAGTGAGAAATGTGAGCATCACAAAGATAATTATTATTGTTAGAACTAAATTTAAACTTAGGTTTTAACCTCATAATCATTGTAAAACCAAACAAATGAGTTTACTGTATGTCTGTCTGAAGAGAAGTTTTATCATGAACTGACAGTTTGAAAAACACCAGTGTTAACATTAGGTAATATATGACGAAACGGAAAACACTAGACTAAAAGACTATATAATTGCTATAAAACAACGCAGAAAAAACACTTATCAGTCCGTTGTACACAGTAAAACAACCCTAACCTACCCCATGAATAGCATATGGTAAATCTCTATCTGATTGATAAATCAAACTAATACATCGGGATTGATAAACACATATAAACGAGAAATATTATCTTCAATCTGAACCTAACCAGGCTTTTTTCCAGTATATAGTAATATTTGTACCCATATATGAAAAAAAACTAAACTGATCACGGAAATTTGTTAGCCAATGATAGCAGTGGGATAGATTACATAATTACCCATTATAGAAGAAACTATTTATATTTTGAAAATAACTCAAACATTTCGTCAAGCTTCTTTTGGAAATATTCTAGAATTATAGAGACCAAGCGAGATCAATACAATTCTGCACCAAATCATTGTCTAATTATATTCAGTGTTTCCTTAAGAATGAGCGTAAGAAACATAATACGAAATGTTTATTATTAAGTAAAACATGATTTGTGTGAGTAAATATTCGTCAGTATTATATTTCTCCAGTAGATGAATTAGGCCTATAAATAACATTTTCACCTTTTATTGGATGAATTTGAATATATATGAAAATGATACCAGGGTAGTGCTAATAATTATGAATTAGATTCTAGTTGTCTATCCATAGATTATTTTTTCAAGAAATCTATCAAATTTTAAGTAGAGAAGGATGCAAGCCAAAAGTGTGTAATCCACTGCAGTCCTAAAAGTCTAACGGAAGATCCAGGTAACCAATATACATTAATTAAAATTAATATATGAAATCACTACAAAAAAACTTGAACAACGTTGAGAATGTTTTTCAATGGAAAAAGATGGCAAATTTCTTCAGCATTTGATCAACAACAGATTTTTAGATTATTTTTTTTATTCAAATAATTTTAAATATTAATTAGTTTTGGTGTCTGAGAGCTTCACCTATCTTCATTTAATACAACTATTATGCTTAAATTTGATTGATATCATTCTCAAGCCAAACCCCATTTACTTAAACTTTTGAAGTAGTAGAGGCTAATAATTGATCATATATCTGTTATTGTTTTTTCTGAAATATGATGGTATCAAATTTTTCCTTCTTCATAAATCTCCACCAATAAATGTGAATCAGGTTTTAAGTTGAATAAAATGTACTTTATAGGTGATAAACATACAGTGTTGATTCTGTTTATTTAGTATTTCATTCACCATGTTCACATTTGTCATTAATGGTATGCATAGGCATGATAGTTTTGACACTAACAAAAAATATACTTCTTGAGTTGTCTCCACTAGCATGATGTTAAAATTTTGATAATTTCTCACAGCGACTCAAAATAATATTGAACATTGCTCCTCTAAAATGTAGACAATTAATTCCGAACTTCTGAAATGTGGGACCCTTATATAACCGCTCTTGTTAACATCAGTTAGGTCGAAATGAATCTCCCGTAATACACTCACTGTGAAATGTGATATATATGTTACCTGAACATCACATCATTAATCAGAAATACAATTTAAACAAACAATACTATATGAATTTAAACTTCATCCCATCGCACAAGCAAGTAGATGTCAGGACTCAGTGGCCGAGTGGATAACGGGATGGCGTTTGAAGCGAAAGGTATTGGATTGGAGTCCCGAATTGAACATCAACTCTGAGATGCAGGTACATCCAGCTGACGAGTCCAAAATAAGACGAAACGCGCGTCCTGGATTTCACTGATAGTTACTATCCATCTTTGCTTACAATTTAAAAACCATTTCAATAATATTTCCTTAGATATACAGAAGCATAAAAAATATTCAGTAATTTATTGACAATTTTAAGTTACACCTTACACAAAATTATACGTTAATTATAATAAAATGAACATTTGAAATGCAACTGGTTACTAAAAAAAACAAAAAAAGAAAAAAAACTACTAATAAAAATTAGGATCTTTTAAAAAGTGTATTCGGTAATATACATTTTCAATATCCATGGTAAAGTACAGAATTGAATAATTGGTTACTTTTTTCTAAAAATTGTTGTTGTTATGCTACACTTTCAAAATCTAATCATTTTTATCAGTATTGATATAAGTATCCTAGTTAGTAACAATATTATTTAAATCTTACCAACTGTTTATCTTTTAACATAAGACCTTTAATTGTTTTGTACATATTTGGTTAACTTTTGTTTACCTATCAAAATAAATATTGTCTGTACAATTTATTTAAATTGTAATGATAATTAATTTATTAATGTTTATTTTTTTGTATTAAATGTAAAAATAGTATCTATGACTTCCATGGCAAATATCTCTTTTTATTTTAGATGTTATGGAATAGTATAATATTAGTTAATTTCTAATCACTCTATGTGAAACTGTACAATATTCAATTGCGTACAAATCTATCAGTTTATGTCTCCATAACTGAAGTTTGTGTATAAGCTGCACTTAGACTAAGACGTGCAGCAGCTGGTTTTAAGTCTGATTTCATTATTTGTCCTGTAGATTTATTTTGTTTCATTAATAGTTGTTCACTTTCTTTATCCATCGATGCAATATCATGCCGTGAATGCCATGAATTCATATAATGAGTAGATTGATTGGTGGTTTTTCGTTGACTACTATGTATTCCACATTTATTGATTAAATTTCTAAATAAATCTTTCAACTGTGAACGAAACCGTCTTCCAAGAAAAACGTAAACAAAAAAGTTTACACCACTATTTAAACATACTAAAGCATTTGTAACTGGACGAATAATCTCGATTAAACTTCGATGATTAATCAGATAAATAATTTGATAGCCAACAGCTGGTAATTCACATACTAAATATATTATAATTACTCCAACACATAAACGATTTACTTCCATTGTACGAGAACGATTAGATTTTGTAACACGTACAAAATAAGCATGATTATCTGAAGAACGTGGTGCTCCATGACAACATTTTGGGATAGTGTGATGGTGTGATGGATGTTGTTTTTGAGGATGTTGTTGATAGTCTCTGTGAAGAGAATGATAATTACATTGTTCAAACTGTCTGTTAGCGCAATCTATTCTAGCAATAATTTGTGCTCGCCTCTGATTCGCATACTTAATTCCTCGAATAAGTAACACATTAAAAATGGCAATAATAACATTAGGTAGAATAACAATTAAAATTGTATAACTGATCAGACGATAAATTAATCTGAAGGCATAGTTATTATTCACCCATGATCGTATAGCACTATGATATATCAGAATTCCTTTAGGTAATTCCGTAAAGTTATAATATCCAGAATGAAGAATATTTGTTTTGTTGTCTTCATTAGAGTAACACAATAATGGCATTGCATCAACAATAAAAAAATGTGGAATATTGTAAAGCGATGACAATATAACAATAAGTGTTATAGCAATATGCGCTTTTTTCCTTGTACATATACTAGGTGCATGAAGTGGTTTACATACAGCTACCCAACGCTCTAATGATACTAGAACAACAGTCCAGTTTCTCATCATTCTCACCGCCATTCCAGATCCATATAATATTTTACTCGTATGAGCATAAACGTTTATGTATGACAACCATAAAATATAGAAAGATAACGTTTTCAGAAATTGGAAAAAGAAGCATAATATTAGAAATGCTGTATCAAATACGGCTAAACTGGTTAGTATTAAACTAGTTGTTCCGTGAGATCTGTCACGAGCTAGGACGAATCCACTTAAAACATTGCCAGTAATCCCAGCAAGCAGTATACAACCAACCAAGAATACATCAAAGGCTACATTATATAGAACAATCCAATTTGGTTTGAAGAGACCGGGCATACTTCCAATGTGCTGAAAGAAATATGAATTATTATTTGGTAATTCGATCAGTTCAGCACAGTTTGATAAAAGCTTTAATAACTCTTCCGTACTCATATCCTTAGAACTCAAAAAATTAGTTTCATTGTCTAATTCCATTCTTATGAGGTGTTCAATGTATTTTATTCATAACAGAATGATAAATTTGAATTTTGAGGAAACGATGCTAAACAAACCTTTAAATAGCTGTCACTTTGGTAGGATATTAAATACCACTTGCTATGATTGGTTGATAATGGACCAATCATACACGTTTAAGAGAAAACATCCCAAAGCACGTCTAATATTGATGTCATATTATTAGTAAACTGAAGTTCTTTAATGAAATCATTCAAATGTTTTTTTACACTGAATCTGTGGCTAAGAATTTCAACAATTAAGATTAGTGCTGGTAACTCTATTTAAGGAAAATAATTTTAAAAATCAAACTATAAGTTTTATTTTGTAAAGTATAACCATAGCTACTTCATTAATTTTATTGGTTCCATAATGTGAGAGCAATATTTATCAAACCACATAACAATAATTTGAAAGTGATTCTTATTTGAACGCTTTTCGACACTTCATAGTGTGAAGAGACTTGTACACTGTGTTTAAAACATTAAAAAATGGATAAAATGCAAAACATTTTTACTCGACAAGAAGCAGTTTTCTACATCCCATGTTGTTATTTTAATGAAACAAGCAATCTATCTTAAGTGTCCTTTTGTTTATAACTAATAGGTATCAAGGAAATTATAAACTCAATGTGATAAACTAAAGTAATTCTTAATTTTTAACTTTGAATTGACTTCAGTGTACAAACTGTTTGTCTCTAAAATTGTAATCTTCATTGAAGAGCTTCAAGTCATTCTCTTCATGTTTCTTTCTAGATAAAAAATATCAACAATCGTAAATATATGAGTTCTCCATAAAAGTTATTTAGTTTAGAAAATTTTTATGTAGATCACTATTTAGGAAATCCCTTTTACATGTGACCTGATAGAAATCTTAATTTACATGAACTGGAAACATTTGAAAACATTATCACTATTTTTCTAGAAAGTATGTATTTTATCTGCTTTGAGTACATTAAAAACAGGAAAAAGATACAATATATTGATTTGACTTCCATATACTTGGTCCTATTTCATTGAATATAACCAAGTTCTTTAACTGTTATTACAAAGTTCCTTTTAAATTAAGTTAACAACTAATGAAGTAAAATATTACTATTTTTCATAAGTACATTAACAGAACTACACAGATTTAGATTTTCATAACTTCTATTTTATAACTTTATTTCGAAAGACAAGCAATAAAAACGAACTTCTATTCACAAAAAAGTTGTATTCAAACTCATAATAGTAAGTTATTTATATAGAAATAAACTTGAAATTTTTTTTTCAGTCTTTCAAGAAATGCATTATGTTATCTCTAAAAGAAAGCAGGTTTTTTTTCTAGGAATCCAAATGTATAGAGTATAGGGAAAAATTCTAATGACATGTTGTAATCTTCATTGAAATCTTGACATTTGAACATATGTTGTTTACACAATTGTAGCATATTCGTAAAAAGTTGATTTCAAAATGAATCGTATCTGAAATTAAATCTTTTTTTCGGTAAGGCATTAAAATATACAAGCAAAAGAGCTTCATTCCACTCTATAACTGTATAGACAAAGTTACGAGATTATTTTTTTGGGGAAAATGATTATGTTTATGACATCCCACGTCTAAATGAAGTGTAAACTCACTGAAGTGTAGTAGATTACTTTAATAACTGTTTCCTCATTTGCATTTCACAGCATAAACTGGTAACTATGACAAGTTTCTACAGTATCTTGTAAATAGAAAGACGTAATTTGAAGTTAATATCTCAAATTTTTCTCGTAACATAAAAATTTATTCCAAGCTGACAGAAATGTATCTCACTGCGTGAGCTTCAAAACGCCTAAACAATTAATTTCTTCAGTTTTGCGTATTAAACACATGTGCTGGAATAACTGATTAACATTAAAACTATTATTAAATTAGACAACTAATTAAGTTATTCCATAAGCATATAGGAAAGTGAATAATGTAGTGATAGTCGAAAATACCTAAAGATTTATTTTGTCATAAACGATTAGTCCGATGAAAGAATCAAAACATGATAAATAACTATTTATGAAAAACGTACTTTCCAATTTTAATAACATGCTCACTGTTTGAAGATATTATCTGATTTCTGCTAGTTTAAAGCATACATAAGAATCAAATTTTGCAAGCGTTTCATAGGGCCAAAGATTTTAATTGTATGATGTGTAATAAGTTAAAAAACTATTTCTTGTCTGCTTTTGATAAACTACTTTATTATCAGAAGGGGTTTTTGTGGAAATTTCGGTAATTTTTTAGTTGAAATCATAGCTCAATTAAAGCTAGACCACCATGGAAAACCTGGAAGCACTGGACGGCCGTATCGTCTTATTATGGGACTCCTCAGCAGTGCACATCCACGAACCCGTACTCGTGAGATTCGAACCCAAAACATATCAGTTTCGCGAGCGAGCGTTTAAACACTAGACCACTGAGCCGGTATCCAACGGTGTAAATATCTAGCTTCAATCAATTCACAAAATTGAGCAACCGTCCACCATTTTCTTCAGTGAGTTACTATCTCACAACAGACCCATTTGGACTCCACTGGTCCTTGCTCCTCACTGGAACTTCAGGAACTACCTCTTCAATCCAATCAAAAGTGAGCATACGATAATTATCAGAAGGTGTTTTTGCGGAGATTTCAGGTCCTCGGTTAAAATTTCGCGAAGTCAGATCGTGGATCCACACTGCTGACGGGTCCCATAGTAGGACGAAATGGCCGTCCGGTGCTGCCAGGTTTTCCATAGTGGTCTAGCTTTAATTGACTTATGATTTCAACTAAAAAATTACTGAAGTCTCCACAAAACCTCCTTTTGATAATAATCATATGCTGACTAGTGACTGACTTCAAGAGATATTTCCTGGAATTCTAGTGAGTAGCAGTAACCAGTGGAGTTCAACCAGGTCTGTTGTGAGGTATCAACTCACTGATGACATTAGTGATCGGTCGCTCAACTGTGTCGATTGATTGAAATTAGACGAAACGGCCGTCCGGTGTTTCCAGGTTTTCCATGGTGGTCTAGCTTCAATTGAGCTATGATTTCAACTATAAAACTGTATTTAGTCTGTTAACTTCAGAAGCCGTTTTGTTACTCCCATCTATCCCAAGATTTTGGTTAGATTAGTTTCATTGCATCGTTTGATATGACGTGATTAATTCCATAATAGTGATGTTCTCGGAAAATTCACTTGATACGTGAAAGCTTTCCATATATTTAGGTAACGTACTTTTTTAAATTCTGTTCATAAATGTAAAATGTTATATTGTAACCTACAGTGAGTCCTAATTCTACACTATATTTCAATTAGACATAGAACGAACACAAAAGAAATTCATGAAACCTGGTTCATGATGGAGTAGACGAAGCACTGCAGAAAAACGTTCTTTGCTGGTGAATCGTCTGCTTGAGCCCAGGTTGACAGTTCATCTCCTATGTAAATGAAAGTACAAAAGCATGTGTTCTCTTGAGCTTTCTAATCTCTCATTTAATGTGATTAGATGAATAACAGTAAATCCCATACCTTATAAATAATTAAACATTATTTAATATGATCACTGAATCGTTGCATATTAACTACATTTATTCGGCACGTTAAACAGGTATCTTTATGAAGAACAACAAAATAGCATGTATCCATTTAAAAACGATTTATGACCACACTATGAGATGACGCGAAAACTGTTATTTAGTTTTGAAAAATATGCTCAATTTGCATTACTAAATTCTGGTAAGCAATCTACATATACGATGTGTGTAAAAATGACATATATGATATAGTTTAGTTTATCTAGCAGTTTAGTCCAAAATTATTCTGTTTCCAGATTTGCTAATGGAAAATTTAAGCATCTTTGGTTACGTAGTGAAGCTTTAGGGACTCAACTGTGTAGAAAAATATTTGGAATAATTTGAATCGCTTTCGAAGATACCTAAATCAAAAAGCCAATGATATTTTAGATTCCGTTTTTTGATAACTAAAGCTTTCTAAATATTTGAGGTTTGTTTGAACCGTCTAAGTAGAATATGTTTAAAAGATTACTGGAAAGTAAACATCAAAGCTATTACGTTGAGATAATAAGATAAAGACGTGATGAATATACGAAAGTTCCGATGTTAACACTGCTTAAACTCGCAAAATTTTATAACCGAATAGTGTTTGAAACATTTTACGCGTTGTATATATTAGAAATTTTACAAAATCATTCTAGATTATCATTTGTGAAAATGTGGATAAATCAAAATAAAAAAGTTTAATTTGATTTCTGTAAATATATTGCTTATTTTCACAAATGAATTTAGGAATCGATCTAAGCTAGACAACTATTGAAAACCCGGAAGCCCTGGATGGCCGTCTCGTACTACAATAAACTCCCTAGTAGTGCGCTTCCACGATCTCGCGATTGGGACTCGAACGCGTGAACGCTTAACCTCTACACTACTGTGCAGACATCTAATGGTGTTACTGTTTGACTTCAATCGATCCATGATCTTGCGCAACCCTTCATCCACTATCTGAGGTTGATAACTCTCTCACACCCGACACAAATTGAACTCCACTGGTCACGGCTTCTCACTAGTACTTCAGGAAATCCATCTAGAAGCAAGTCACTAGTGAGCATATGATGATTATCGAGGTGGTGATTTGTGGAGATTGTAGTACTTTCACAGTTAAATTCACGAGTCACAGGGGAGTTACGTAAACATAAATGAAATAAAAACCTTATACATTTCTTCTTAAAATATTTAAATAAGTTCATTACATGACAAGCAGTGAATTCGTACGTTACTTTTTGTGTCCTGATCGTTTACACCTTACGCCAAAATAAATATGCATCCGACTTCATCGATGTCATATAATCGAGTGAAGTCTACTTATTTCAGAGTTAAGTAAAAGTTCACAATAATAATTATAAATCTTATACCTCAGTTTGCCTTCTGAATGAATTTATATAACTATTTCGTACATCACGTCGAAATCCCT